GTGGATCCTCTTCAGAGACATTTCCAAAGAGATGCTCCTGAGAAGAAGTGGACACATCTTCCCTTTCTTTGGGTTGTGTTGAGACCATCTCCGTCAACGCTTCTGGTACCTGAAACACCAGCCAGATTTGGGGCGGGGGGCGGGGGGGGGAATGGAAGAGCTGGGATGAGGACACACAAGGTGGATGGAATTCTTTTCTTCCACCCCTAATTTTGAAGCCTCTTCTATCTATCCTTGGGATGGAATTGGGCTTGGGTTGCAGAACAGGGACCCCCAAACTTGTCAACTTTAAGACTTGTGGACCTTCAATTCCCAGAACTCCTGAGCTAACATGACTGGAGGAGGAATTCTGGGAGTGGAAGTCCACAAGTCTTAAAGTTGCCAAGTTTGGAGACCTCTGCTGAAGAATAATCATGGATTCTTAGCATTGGGAAGCATCTTGGAGGTCTATCCTCAACCAATGCAGATCAATATGAAGAACAGGAATAGCAGGAATTAGGTATGGCTAACGTAGAGAAAAGGACTAAGGGTGACCTGATAGCAGTATTCCAGTATTTGAGAGGCTGCCACAAAGTGGTCAACTTATTTTCCAAAGCACCAGAGGCCAAGACAAGAAACAACGGATGGAAAGTCATCAAGGCAAGAAGCAACCTGGAATTAAAGAAACATTTCCTAAGAGGGAGAACAATTAACCAGTGGAACAGCTTGCCTAGAGACGTTGTGGGTGCTCTATCACTGGAAGTTTTTAAGAAGAGACTGAACAGCCACCTCTCTGAAATAGAATCGGGTCTCCTGCTTGAGCAGGGGGTCAGACTAGAAGACTTCCAAGGTCCCTTCCAGCTCTGTTCTGATTGATTGATTGATTGAAATGGCTGCCCAGATCTTAACTTGAAAACCTCCGGTATAGAACCACGCACCACTCCAGAGGACAGGCTGCCCATTGCTTAAAAACTCTCAAAGGGAGGAAATTCTTCCTTTATTTTGACTTTGTATCTCCCATTGTAAAGATAAATATAAAGTATTCTTTGTCCCACAGAGTCAATCTATACCTGTGATGGCAAACCTATGGCCCGCGTGCCACAGGTGGCGTGCAGAGCCATTTGTGCTGGCCCACGAGCCGCAGGCAAACTTACTTCACTGCGTGCCTCACAGCTGATTTTTTTTTTTTTTTTTGGCTGGTTTGAGGCCTTTTTCAGCCTCCCAGAGGCTTGGGAAAAGACTCTGCAAGGCTGTTCAGGTCGAATACTAGGCTCGTTTCCTCACTTCCTGTAATACCGGAAGTGACAAAACGGGCCTATTATTCTTCCTGGAAAGCCTTGCAGAGGCTTTTTCCAAGCCTCTGGGAGGCCGAAAAATTAGCTGTGAGGCGCGGTGCAGGTAAGGGGGTGGTGGTGGGGAGATTACGCGCGATGCGCTTGGGGCACGGGGGCACACACATTGCATTCTGGGTGCTGGCATGCCAGTGCGCGTGCGCGCTGGTGCGTGTGCAATTTTTGGCACAGGAGCCCCAAAAGGTTAGCCACCACTGATCTATACCCTCTTCCCTTCAACAGCCCCTAAGTTTTGGAAGACGGCTGCCATGATTCTCCACCTCCTTCCCTTCTTTAGATGAAACGTGCCTTGTTCTTTAGCTACCAGTATTCTTTCTAAGATTTAAACTTCAACTCTGTTCTGGACTAGCAGGCTCGAAAGCCTGCAACTCTTATTGGCCCGCGAATAGCAGATCATGATTGGTCACAGCAGACTGATCCGATTGGCTAGTAAACGGGCTGCCACGATTGGCCCTGCCAAGAGCAGCAAACTCAAATCGCTTTCATTGGCTGCCTAGCCGCAGCTAGCCCTATATAAGGGGCTGCTGCAGCTGGGATTCTTCACTCAGATCTGAAGTCACTAATAAAGAGCTGTTGTTGTTATCTGAGTCTTGCCTCCGTTTCTGAACCATCCTCCCAGATCTAACAAACTCCTCAAACTTTGTTGTTCTCTGCCCATTTCCAGTTTCTCAGCATTCTTCTTGCATGGTGTCAATCAAAGCTGGACCCAGTGCAAATATTCCAGATGTGCTCCGACTGCTATAGTGTAAAGCAGAACAATCATTTCTGGTGTTTTCAGCCTGTACCTTCATTGATGCAGTCTAAGGCTGCATTTGCTTTTGGGCAGCTGTAGCGCATTGAATTCTTTATTGTCATTCTACGCACAGACACAGTATACATACAACAAAATTCACGAAATTCAATTGCTGGCTCCTGCTTAGTTTGTGATGTACCAGGACGCCAATATCTTTCTCCCAACTACTCCTGCTGGGCCTGTTCTATAACTGTGCATCTGTTGTTTTTTCCCTTCCTAAGTCCTGAGATAGGGAGGGAAAACTCAACCATTTGCTTGAAGTCATAAAACGGCGAAGCATTTCCTAAAACAAGGATCTTAGAGGAGCCTCTCTGGCACAGTGGTTAGAGTGCAGTACTGCAAGCTACTTCTGCAGCCAGTCACCTGTAATTTGGCAGTTCAAATCCTACCAGGCTCAAGATTGACTCGGCCTTCCATCCTTCCGAGGTCGGTAAAATGAGGAGCCAGATTGTTGGGGGCAATAGGCTGACTCTGTAAACTGCTAAGAGAGGGCGGTAAAGCACTATAAAGCGGTATATAAGTCTAAGTGCTATTGCTATTGCTATATGTCTTGTTCTTACTCAATGCCAGGGGTGTCAAACACAATTTCATTGAGGGCCACATCAAGATTGTGTTTAAACTCTGTGTGTGTGTGTGTGTGTGTGTGTGGCCAGGGGGTGTGGCCAGCTCAACATCATTCATGTCAGGGGTCGCTATAGTTGCCTGAGCGCTCTCCCAGCAAAAACAGAGCACGCGGCTGTCCTAATGTCAACTCATAAAATATTTCTAGGGTCTTTTTACAGTTGCCAACAGAAAGGGAGGGGGAAGCAGTGTGGCAGCTTGGAAACCAAAAGTGCATTCCATAAATAATTTTTCAAAGATAGTAACTAGATGACTGAAGTTTCTGCCATGCAAAATTCTAATTAGAGAACATGATTGATGACTCTTGGCTATGGATGTGTCCCATTGGAGAATATGAATTATGATACACCCAGGGGAGGGGAAAACCAGAGTCAAGGGTGACAATGAATGATGTGTCTCAGAGTTGGCTACATCCAGGCGGCGCCCGGACATGTTAACTCCCAATAAATCCTTTTGAAGTTTTAGAAGTTTGGCTTGAGACTCATGATTTAATCGGGGTAACTGCCAGAATCCTGACACTTGAACTCCGTTTTTGCTGGCAGAGGGTTGCAGGAGGCCGTCACAGTCGAAAACGGAGCTCGGAAGGGCCACATGCAGCCCTCCCGAGCTCCGTTTTTACTGGCAGAGACACCGCAGGCCGGGCCTTCATTGTTTCCAGGGCGGCCCTGCGGGCCAGATCTAATCACCACACAGACCAGAGTTTGACACCTCCCTGCTCCATGCCAAGATGAAACCTCTCACCTGCTTCTGTGTTAGCCCCTCGTCGGTTGTTTGACTGAGGAGGAAGCCTTCGGCCAGGGCCACCGCCTGGGAACAAGTCTTTGCTCTGCATTCTCTCACCCAGCTCTCCATTTCTGGGGGCAAGACGGCCAGGAACTCCTCCAACACCACCATGTCCACTATCTGAGCTTTGGTGCTCCTTTCCGGCTTCAGCCATCGGTGGCAAAGCTGGTGGAGCTGGCTGCAAACTTCTCTGGGCCCTTTAGCCTTTTGATAGCAGAAATTCCGGAAGAACAAGCGATGAACGTCAGAGGTGATGGCTTCCTCAGGCAGGATCTTCTGCCTGGTGCTTTTCCACGACACGCTGCTGGTCCCCTCCTCAAAGGCAGCGGCTCCCAGTCCTGCTGGTCTTTCGGTGGCCATTTTATCTTTCTAACTCCGGCGTAGTTTCCAACAGGGCGGAAATATATGTGTGTGTGTATGTATGTATGTATGTATGTATGTATTTATTTATTTAGAGGCTAATTTAGAGGCTAAACTACACAAAGAGGCTGCAGCTGGATCTCAAAAGGACAGTGAGTCGTTTATCTCCAAAAGCAAAGATCTGATACGTGAAGGAAGATGATCTAAGAAAAACAAGTGAAAAATCCTCAGAGCCACAGAAAAGGATGGTTCCATCCAGAGGGTTTTGGCCCATTCGATTGTATAATAAATACCTTTGCAGAGCCAAA